TGGACTGGTAAAAGGACAAACCAATCTGATTGGAAGAAGTCTGGAGAGAATGACTCTTAGAATCAAGGATGGTTAAGACTTTGTCTTGGGTACTTTGACATGTTGTCAGGAGAGATCAGTTCCTAGAGAAAGACATCATGCTCGGTAAAGTGGAGGGGCAGCAAATAAGAGGAAGCTCCTTGACAATGTGGACGGACACAGGGGCTACAATGGGCGCAGGCATAGGAACAATTGTGAGGATGGCGCAGGACAGGGCAGTGTTTCCTTCTGCCGTGCAGTGTTGCTATGGGTAAGAACCAACTCAATAGCACTAATAATAATAAGGATGGAGGGGAGAGTGAGGAGCTGGTACCACGGGCTGAAGTAGAAAGCAAATGTTTTGAGAATGATGAGAGCAACAAATGTACACATGTGCTTGACAGAATGGATGGATGGATGGATTGTGATAAGAGTTGTACGAGCCCCTAATAAAATGATTTTTTAAGGATGTACATTTCAATACTTTTTAATATGTTCACGGAATTACATAACTATAACCATGATCAATTTTCGGACATTTCATACCCCAACATGAAACTCCATTCCACTAGCAGCCACTGCCTCTCCGCTTAAGCTCCTAGTCCTAAAGAACCACTAATCTACTTCCCATCTTTGTGGATGGACCTATTTTGAACCTTTCATACAAATGAATTATGCAATATGAGGTCTTTTTTATTGGTTTCTTTCAATTAGCATAATATTTTCATCCATGTTGCAACATACATCAACACTTCCTTTCTTTTTGTTGCCAAATACTTCTTTGTAGAAAGTCCAACTGAGACCAGACAGCTTGTTCCCACTTTTTGGCTATTATGAATATGCTGCAATGAACACTTATGTACAAGTTTTTGTGTGGACATATGGTTTCAATTCTCTTTGACATATATATAGGAGTGGAACTGCCAGCTGGTCAGATTTAGCCATACCTAATTTCCCTGCTATTGTGCTTTCTTCTGTACAAGACACAGAGAGAGAAATGAGAGAGAGAGAGAGAGAGAGAGAGAGAGAGAACCTATTCGGGTTATCTGTTCAGCATTTCTTGAGTGCATGATGGAATCAGATATCTTGGGTGAAGTGATTGAAATTCAAAGTGATTGAATCAAAACCTCCTACACAGGGACCATTTCCCATGGGGTCGAGGAAGGCTCTGATGTGAGTGGGTGTGTATGTTTGAAAACCTGGAGAAGAGGGAAGATGGCGCTCCAGAAGGAGCTGGATATAAAGGTCCAGTGAATGGACATAGCATGGAGTTCTCGGGGGACAAGAATGAGATCGTAGATGACCCTGGAATGATTCGTTGGGTCACATCTAATGTTCATGAATCACATCAAGTGTTTGGAATGGCAGCCTCAAGGCTAAATTTTTAAGACTAAAATTTCAGTTTGAGGGAACTGAGGGAAGCGAGTCAGAGGATCAAATCAAATGGTCAGGATCACAGCAATGACTGGCAGGTGCCAATGGGACGGACCTGCAGGGATGGGCTGACTTCGGAGACAACAAGCCTCTATCCTTAGGAGGCTTTTGCAGCAATTCTGGGCCAAGGCACAGGCTCTGAAGATCGATCACCAAGCGGGAGACGCTGGCTTAAACACTGATGCAGTAGACAAAGCTGCATTCATCAAGGGGCTGGTTCCCCAAAGGACCGTGCCTATGTGCAGACAGCTCATCATTTCCCTATTACATAAATTGATCGGGTCATTCGGAACCAAGATGGATGCCAAGGGTTTGCTGCTAATCAAGCTAGAATAGCAAACTAGAGGACAAGGCAAGCTCTCTGCCAACTGGCGACCGGGAGCCAGGAGCTGGTCCAGCGGCAGGAAACACTGCAGCAGAGCACCCTGTCCCTGCCCTCGGAGTCTGGGCAGAGACAGCCTCCGAGAAGCCTGGCAATGCCCTTCAGCTACATCTGGAGGCTCCAGAGCCCACTCCCAGGCTGGCAATTCTCAGGGATTCCATCAACGCAGGCCAGCCAGCAGGTGGAATTAGGCCCATAACTGGGCTGTCCTCACTGAGGAAGCTGCTGGACCAAGAGAGCCTCATGGACGCCCGCAGAAACCCCAGAGGAACCAAAGGCCTGGGGACTTTGACAATGATGATAACTGCCCCGAACGAACGGGCTATCATTGGGTTTGTAGACAGCTCCCACTGTGCTCCACAGGGAGGAGGCTCCGCTTTCTCAGAGAGAAGCTCTCGCTCTGAGGCAAAGAAAGGTCTTCCTGCCCGGTTAGCGGGGCTGAGAAACTAGTCACGTGTCATCCAGCGCTGGGAAATCTAATTCTACCAGATGCAGAAGGAGCCTTTCCCTAGCTTCCCCTTCCTAACAGGCGGCACTGCAGTTTGGCCCTACCTGTAAATGGCAGCATGTTACCAGAAAGATCCAAGTCTCCGCTGCACCCTGATTTGGGGAGGGGAGGGGGAGGCGGACAAATCTCAAGTCAGACGCCTCCTGGCTCTCGTGCAGCACCACTCTACGCCCCCTACACCGCCCCCCCCCGCCCCCAGTCTCTGGGAGTCTAGTGCACGAGTTCTAGTTTAGAGGCCGTGAAATGCTTAGTGCACTAGTGGCAGAGGCTCGTCCCGGGTCCACTGGGGCGCACTAGGCCGTCGGAGACTGACGCTGCTGCGGTCACTTCGAGGGCACCTTCATTTACAGTATTTTCTATTGTTGGGGGCTAGGCAGCGCCGTCCTGGAGGTTGGGGGCGCAGTCGTGCCTTTTGCCCCACTTCGCCTTCGCGGTACATCGCAGCACCGTCCTCCCTGCTTTCTGCCATCTGTATCTTGTCATCATCATCTCCAGGGCCCCCTTCCCGGAGGCGAAGAGGCCAGTGTGCCGCCCGCGCCGGGGGCGCAGCGCCACACAAACTTTGGGGCTCGCGTCCGGCGGGCGAGCACCGCTGCAAGCCGCGGCGGGGGAGGAAGGCGCTTTGCCCGGACGCCGCGAGCCCGGTCCGCGCCGGCCTC